CTTAAAAAATATAAGCACATATGAATTAGAAAAGGTAATGAAGATATACTAGTAAGAAATCACTTACGATTCCTAATTGATATGCTTTATCAACTACATAATTGTCCTTTTCGACAAAATCATATTTGTCAATATTATACCTATACAAAAATGAAAAAACGCACATAGCACCGTAACTTCCGGCCACTAGGGTGAAATATTCTAAAATATCTTTTTCTGTTTTGTACATCTTATTAGCAAGATCCCATTCGTAACCTGCAAGTAATTGTTCGTATGGCTTACGGGCAAAAAAAATGCCATTCTAGAGAATGCACGAAGACATGCCATTTCCTCATCGGTGAACTCTGCTTCGAATGGGGTCCAATCAATAATTACTTCCTCTGGTACTGATTTCACTTCATAATCTTTTCTGCCAGGAAAACACTCACTAATGAATTTCTGGAGAAGCTTTAATCTTAGTTTTTTATGTTCCATACTAGATGCGTCATCCATAATGTTATCCGTATAGCGACCAAATGAGTAGTTAATTATAATCTCCATTCGGATTCCTAAATAAAACCATCAATTTTATTTATCATATATTAAAATCAGTTATATTTTATTAAAAATTATAATCAAACCAAAAAGAAACCTAGGCAAAGTGAACATTTTTATATTTGAGTTATCAAAATATCGTTCTATAATTTTACTCAAAATAAAATATTGGAAAACAAAACAAATTATTTTCGTCGAGTACCCGGTTAATTCCCACATTGCAAAGTGAAAACAATCAATGTAAACATAACAACTAATTTTATTTTTGTGGACTGTGTTACAAATCATAATTTTTAACTTTTTGTAATATACTGTACCTATACATTAATTTAAGTTTGCTATATTCACTTTCCCAGATTAATTTTTTTTAATTACTATTATTTTTTTACTTATTGAATGTAAATTAGCAAGTAATAACAACACCTTCAACAAAACCAGTAAAATATAGAGGTTCATAAGATCTATTGTTCTGCTATTTATTTTTTTAAAGTTCATATTGATGGGCACCTATACGGCCTATCGGACCGGCCTCCACGACCGAACTCTATCTGTTTTGCCTTTAGCCCCCGGGCACGACGTACGTGTCTACAGACGAACTGAGGTTATACTGTAATTAATATTAATTGTTAGATTATGCTTATGCAACGCTAGTGTATTGTTTAATTTAATAAATCTTTCGGTTTGTTTCCCGATTCATTCTGACCAACGATTAACCTATTTAACTACCTTACATTTGTATAGTGTTTTTTTCACCACTTAATTACACAAAATTAATTATTTGAAACTGAATGAAATAGAATAAACGATATTCATTATTCATCAAAAAATATGTTAGTTACGATATGATTATAATTTTTTATATACATACCGTAATGAAATAGATAGGCGTTTATTGGCATTAAATTTGCGTTATCCATTGATTTAAGATTGCTTATTAAATCTTCCGTAACGAGAGATGGCAGAGAACATTCTGGAGTGACGAATGCTTCAAACATCTGACAAATGAATTTTCTACTGATACTAAACTGGTGAGGGTATATCAACGTAAACGTTACGACCGTACCGTATGCCTTGTCATAACAGGCTCCCGCCATGACAATCATGGCAGTCGTTATGGAGACAAACAGAGCTTCTTCTAAAGGCAATCCTTCAGCCACAGACATGTTTAAACTAGTATTCTTATTCAGATGCCAAATGTCCTCCTTCAGGGCTATCCCATTCACCCACAACAGGTATAACGTCGGCACCACAATCGCGAAAGCGGACGGTATCAAATTTTTTACGAAATAGTTTCCGGCCCCGTACCACATGACTATGATCACCGGAGACGCCCAACACAGAATGCTCCCAAAATAAAACGTTTCTTGTCCCGGAACGGCCATTCTGTAACCGATGGCCGTGACAATGCTCAGCAACAAAATCGGTATCCATCGGATTGTTTGATAACTCTGTTTGTCGTGGTTGAAATTTAAAAACGGTAATTTCCACCGAACACAGAGCAATGCCCAAAGCGTGGTCAAGACGATTTGTAGGACGACGGACACATACTCCTCGACGGGAACATTTCCCAAAACGCCTAAGAGTCTTTCCGGTGTATAGGTCCTCGCTTCATTGGCGATATTATAGTTGTAACATGGTATTGTGTAGAGAAGTGCCACGATGCTTATAAATGCAATTTTGGTAATTTCGAAACGATCGATAAATGGCCGAGCTAATAAAATCAATACACCGATAGCTGGAATAAAATACGTTAAATGGATTCCCATATAGCTCAACATTTTTACTTGTTCGTTGAAGCTGAAAAATTAAAAATACATTGATAGACTGCTACGTATAAATCAATAATGTGTATCCAATGATAGTGTATATTTAAAATGTATTCAGGTATTTATTTTCTTATGAATACCTAAGTATGACGGAACAAATATTCACCTAGATAAAAATATGGAACCTTAAAAGTTAATAATAAAATGAATCCCCTATGTTCATCCAAAATGTTAATATATAAAACTATGAAAGGTAAAGCAAATTCCAAGACAAAATATTTTTTCCAGTAATTTTTAAATACTTTTGTCGCGCTAATTTTTTTTAACAATTTTTAACGATTTAAAAAAAATAAAATTAGATTAATCGCCTTGTGTGATGGGGTGTTTGGCTTCAGTCGCTAACGTGTTCTGATGACAAGCAACAGCCGGTGTCACTAGTTTCCAGATGGGGCTTTAATGACAAATCCTCACCACATATGCACTTATTCTAGCCGACTACACCCTCCCCACGGTTTAAAACCTACCAAATAATCTACAGGCCTACATAATTTTAATCCTTTTAAGATAACGTTTAGTTGTCGCTGTTATAAAAATGAATTTAAAAATATATATATATCAGTACCCTTATATATATGATTACAAAAAGTTATTAGAAATTTTGAAAAAAAGTTTGATAATGTTATTTATTTTACAGTGTAATATTACGGAACGCACTACTAACCTGTTTGCGTTGATTGAATGTCTCCGAAGTTTGACTGGGCAGTGTATTTAAATTATAGCTATAGCGTTGATATAAACTTGTATATAAATACGAACACAAATAACTATCAATATTGGTTTACAAGACTTCGTTGACTAAATGAAAATGCTGATATATATATATGCATATTTAAATGATTATTTTTGTATAAACTCAGCAAGTTTGTGGAGTCGTCCTAGTTTTTCTTTGATTTATTATAAAAGATAATAGTTACGATGTCAACATTTATACAAACGATAGAGTGAATACTACAGGTGGGATTTGATAAATATTTATTAATTTATCGACTGTTGCAATAATACAATAAACAAGCCATAGTTTGAAGCCACAATGACTATTTCATAATACAATATGTCTCACTGAATTAAAGTCTAATCTTTAAAATTCGTTTCTCTGACATTTGACTAGTCAATAGTAAACTTCTAATCATATTCAGTAAAATATTATTGATGAGCTAGTCGAGGGATAATTATAAAACTGGGCATTATTTTCCTAGGCTCTATATAGAATACCTATATAACCACTGCAGCCGCCATCATGTTTTTCTATAAATCAGATTTTTGTGCATATTTTGATTGTATATTTGGTAATTTTTCACGCATTATGCATGCGTATTACAGTAAATTTAAGTGCATAAATATCGGAGCCCTACTTTTATAATTATATAAGTTTTACAAATTTATATATTTAATCATAGTCATGATCTTATAACAATAACACTTAGTATTATAGTGTGTATTATTTATCATAAATTTGTTATTGGCAGTTTAGGCATACTATTAAAAAATTGCATCGCGTATAACCTAACCCTAGCTGTATCACCAAAGTGTTAGTATATTATGTATTATAGGTTTATCGTTTATGTAATAATAGATTAATATGATGTAATTCAATGATGACAACAATGATTACAAAATATAATTGTAATTTGTGTGGTTAGAGATAAATTTTGAATTGTGATGTTTGATAATAATTTTAATACACATTTCTCAGAGATATAAATTAATAATTATAGCATGACTTTAATGATGGTAACGTCGTATTACTTAATTTAGGTACTAAACGTAAGTTATGAAAACATTATTATAAACGTCAGTTTATGTATACAAGTTTACCTGCTATAAAGTAAGCGTATACAACTTAACTATAATATGATCAATGTGAATACATGATATAGATCATAGATGCATTGGCACAAAGCAAAAATTAAATACAATAAACAAATTAAACTCTATTAGAAAAAATAATAAATAAGAGTGGCATGTCTGGTCAGTCGATATATAACCTACGTAATCTATAACTCAACAATTATCAATACCAATTCAATTTTAATTGGGTTTTACAAAATAATAATAAATAAATATATTATAAAACCTTATACACAACATTTTGAGTTTGTAGGTTTCATGTAATTTATTTTAAATATTAAATACTTACAGTAATAATAATTGGATATAAATTCTATAAATTGATATTAATATTGTTAGAAAATCTCATCATTTATTTATTTTTTTTGAATTCGACCGTTTTAACTAAGATATGATTTTAAGAATTAATAAAAAATAATAATAAGGGGGCTTAAATTATGGAAGAAAAAAGCTAGCCCACATCCAAAATGGTGCTTCTGCATAGTATCAACGTATCAACTGTGCATATACGGTTAGGTTAGGATATAATGCATACTAACAAAACCAAAATACATAATAACAAGTCTATATATGATAAGAATAAACATGCTGTTATTTTTAGACAACAATTTAAATTTCTACCTCAATAATTGGGTGCCTGTTTATAAAATCATAACAAACGATTAGTAAAATATTTTTTTGTAATTAGTATGATAATTTAATCAAACAATCTATGTATAGAATATATAATAAATACTAAGTATATATATTTTTTTTTATATGTTTTAATATTGATAATTTTTTATATTTTAGGTAGTTGAAAAAATGGTGGTTAAAATTATCATCATCGGGGCTGGAGTTGGAGGTACAGCAGCAGCTGCTAGACTTAGCAAAAAAGGATTTCAAGTAGAAATTTATGAAAAAAATGCATACAATGGCGGAAGATGTTCACTCATTTATCAAAATGGACATCGATTTGATCAAGGTCCATCATTGTACCTGATGCCCAAAATATTTGAGGAGACATTTGAAGATTTGGGAGAGGACATTAAAAATCACATTGATTTATTGAAGTGTCCTTCTAATTACAGTGTACATTTTCACGACGGAGAAACATTTGAACTTACCACAGATTTATCAAAATTATCTCGTTCTTTGGAAAAATATGAAGGCAACGGTGAATCGACATTAATTAATTTTTTGGGCTATTTAAAAGAAACTCATGTGCACTATCAAAGGAGCGTTAAAGTTGCACTTAAGACCGATTTCCAACATTGGTATGACTTTTTCAATCCAAAACATATACCAGACGTTATCCAACTGCATTTATTGGACACCGTTTACAACAGAGTTTGTAAATATTTCAAAAGCGACTACATGAGAAAAGCGTTTTCATTCCAAACAATGTACTTGGGGTAAATAGAAAAACGTTAATTAATAATAAACTTTAAACTAAACAAAATTTTTTTTTTTTTGTTTTTAGGATGTCACCATATGATGGCTTGGCTCCCTATAGCTTACTGCAGTACACTGAAATAGCAGAAGGAATTTGGTATCCGAAAGGAGGCTTCAATACAGTTTTGCAAAGTCTTGAAAAAATTGCTGTTCAATATGGGGCAAAGTTCAATTATAATACCGATGTCCAAGAAATAATAGTTGATGACAAGGGAGTGGCAAAAGGAATCAAATTGGTAAATGGTGATGTGGTAAATAGTGACATTGTAATCTGTAATGCAGATCTCGTATATGCGTACAACAAACTTTTGCCAAAAACATCATACGCTGAAAAACTCGGCAAAAAAGAACTCACTTCATCTTCGATATCATTTTATTGGTCCATGAAAACAGTTGTATCAGAATTGAAAGTACACAACATTTTTTTGGCTGAAAAATATAAACAAAGTTTTGACCAAATTTTCAAAGATCATACGTTGCCCGACGAACCATCGTTTTATGTTAACGTGCCTAGTCGCATCGATCCAACAGCAGCACCAGAAGGAAAAGACACAGTTGTGGTCTTAGTACCAGTGGGGCATATATCGAATGTCCCTAATATTGATTTCGATCAACTTGTTAAGAGAGCTAGAGAACAAGTAATTGACACAATAGAGAAAAGATTGAAGATATCCAACTTCAGAAGTTTGATCGATCACGAGATAGTGAACGATCCGAGGACATGGCAAAACGAATTCAATTTATGGAAAGGGTCTATTCTAGGACTATCTCATTCATTGTTTCAGGTTTTATGGTTCAGACCTAGTTTGAAATGTAAAATATTTGAAAACTTGTATTTTGTTGGTGCTTCTGCACAACCTGGTACTGGTGTACCAATAGTTTTATGTGGTGCAAAAATGTTAGAGAAACAGTTGTGTGATAGGTTCTTGGACGGTAAAGTTGAAATAAGCATATGGTCGAAGTGTGTTTCATTTTTAATCGGTCTTCTAGCACTTCTGATTTTTTGGTTTTTTTTTAGATTTTAATAATGGCCAACCTACAGGCATTGAACATGCATGTGTTCTGTGTGTTTATCATTTTATTATTGTAATACCTACTCTTAAAAAAAATGTAAAACTTTAAATTCATAGTGTAAGACATAATGTACTAATTTAAAATAAACAATTTTGAAATATTATGCAGGTATTACGTAGATTAATATAATATACATTGTAAATTATTTATTGCTAAATACTTTACTGTATGAATAGTATGAATAGAATAATATAAAATAATATAAAATACATGTACCTAATGAAAATGTTAATGTCCATCCATATCAAATATTTGTATTATACTCATCACCTATACATTCAATCTTAAGGTGTTGGATAGTTTAAAACTGAAGATTTATACATTTGAGCTTATTTTTTATTTTTATACTTTTCTAAAATGTAGCATTTAACATTTTAGTACATTTATTTATGTCAATTTAATCTTAGCAAAACAAATATAATATAGTTTATACACCACGAGTACATGAAAAAATTGTTTTTAATTAAAAATTACTAATGTTCTTATTAAAAAAAATATATGCATACAATTTCTTTGAATATGCACTAACATCCGCATAAATGATGTATTGCGTCAGTATCTTGTTTTGCTAATTTACAAAAATAAATAAAACAACCTGGTGTGGCTCGGTGATTGGCATAATTTAATAACGTATTTTGGAGTCATGCATTGGCCGGCGTCGCTAGTAACTGGATGATTGACCACCCGGATTTTGAGAGATTAATATCACATATACGTTTTCTTCAACCATACATACACTCCCTTCCTTCGAAAAAAATTCCAATGGCCAAAGTTGCCAAAGCTTAAGATCGATAAAAAAAAAATTAATTAATAATTATGATATTTACTTATTTTTTTATCCTACTCATATATACTATAATAACATATTGTTATGTTATAGATTGTTGAATGTATATAATATCATGACGCCTAATCTACTTAATTTAGACTCTCATAAAAAATTGTCTATTCTTAAATGTTATTAAAATTATTATGATGTACAACATATAATAATATGACCATTGATCAAACACAATTATATAATAAAATATTAATAACTACTACTTAGATCTGATTACCGACAGACGATGACACTTACAATGTTATGAACATATATTGCATGACAAAAGAAATTACTTGAAACTCAAAAAATATTATTACATCATATTGTATTAATAAATTATACAATAAATGTATTTTTACAATCATAAATTCTGATCAAATATCCAATTAAAAGTAAGTTATATATCATACTATCTTTATTTTTTTAAATTTTTTAATGTAAATTAATATAAAAGTAATAACTTTCTTAAAAATATTCTTTAAAGTATATTATTTTTTATTTCTGAATTATTTATTATAAAAGTAATCTCCATAATTTTTGACATACGCTTAGATGAAAAATTAAATGCAATCGCCAATCGACAATTTATGGAAAAACCACGGTACACTTAGTGGATACTCGCGGCACTCAGTTTGAAAACAACTGTTATATAGTATCGGTTTTTCTTTTTGTCATGTATTTCTGTTACTCCCTGTGTATTATATGTATGACAATAATTGTCTATGCAATCCATATCCGATTCTATGATTTCTATTCAAGTCACCAAGAAAGCAATAGGTATAATCCATAGTGTACAGACTAGACTAGAGTGCGATCGCCCTTTCGCGAATGGTTTCAACGATGAACGGCTTGGATTTTTTGTACCAAACTTTTTGAACAGGTAATAAAAATTAAAACAACTCCGTCTAAATGAGAAGCTTTAAAAAAATCTGTTATAAATAATGACGGAGCTAGAAATACATACTCGTAAAATTACAGTAGCTCTTAGGTGAGTAAAATATACAAAATATGTAATCTACGAACTGCAGTGAAGGTTAACTTTGTATCTTTATATTATCTTGCTATCGTAGCTATGAAATTCTTAATTGCCTTGTTGATCTAAGCGAAGACGGTTTAAATTGATGGTAACCATGGTTACACAATATTTATTTTAATAATAATATTAGAATTTTTACAAATGTTTAAGACATTTTTTTCTGTAATTTCTTATTATTTTGAATGTAAGGTACAAAATAGATCCAAATTATTATCAGAAATCAACCTCAATGTTAAAAATAAAAGCATTCTTTTAAATACAAAAAGTGTCTTTTAAAAATTTAAAACGCTCACAACATTGTAGACTCAATACAATACTTGCTCAATAAAATATAAATATACAAGTAAAGGTTATAAATTAAATATCCCTAGTAATAAAGAAATATAGACCATTTACAACAGTAATTCACATGCAATCAATCATACATAAATGATAAATATATTGGTACATATTTAATATGTTGACTGACTAACAATTAAGTTAAGTATGCTTGAAAGGATGGTACCTGTTAGATTTTATATGTTAAACTGTTAAAGTATAAAATATTAATATGCATGTTGTACTTTATGGACATTTTATTTCAAAAATATAAGTATAACTAATATATCTAATTTAATTAAATAACCAAAATTATAAGCTTGTATGATTACAGTTACAATAATAAATAAAAGTTATAAAATTGTCTGTAAATGTGTAATTAACTAATGATATAAAAATGAGCATACTTATACATTATAATATGGATATACATACTAAGCTAATACACAAACAATAATAGCAGTAAAAACTGTTTAATAAATTTATATCATATATTGGAGGCTTTCAATATACAGAACTCTAAATATTATCTTACATTTATCCCACCTAGACACTTTTGCTTTGAGTGGAAATGTTGGACTAGCCTTGATAGTATAATAAATCCCTCGATAAATTTCAAGCGATGTGAGAATTGACCCTCTTAGATCAATTGGTAATCTCCAAATGACATCCATTGCTTCCATTAGATGTTTGTCAGATAACTCCTTCATTTTATCAGCATATCTGTTCAATTTATCATTTCCCAGAGACCTAGGCTTCTTTTCTTGACATAAGATCCTTACATCATTTTTTTCGTCCTCCAAATAGTTAGTAGGTAAATAGCAACGTCCCCATGATTCACTGTCACTGACGATGTCCCTCGAGATATTCACGAACTGTAAGCTCTTAAAAAATATGAATAAGTACATACACATAGCTTCAAATACTAGTCAACAATAACTTACATTTCCTAATTGATATGATTTTTTAATTACATAATCGTCCTTTTCAACGAAATCATACTTGTCAATATTATATCTATAAACAAATGGAAAAATGCACATCGGACCAATACTTCCGGCAACAAAAGTGAAATATTCTAATACATCTTGTTCTGTTTTGTATGACGTATTAGCAAGATCATATTCGTAACCAGCAAGTAACTCTTCATACGGCTTACGAGCCAAAAAAAATGCATTCCTAGAGAATGAACGAAGGGATGCCATCTCCCAATCAGCAAACTCACATTCGTATGGCGCCCAATCGATATTTACTTCATATGGTACTGATTTCACTTCATAATCTGATTTTCTGTCAGCAAAACACTCTCTAATAAATTGATGGAAAAGCTTTAATTTTAGTTGTTTAACTTTCATTTTCGATGCGTCATCAATTATGTTATCTGTAAATCGTCCAAACGAGTAGCCCGATATAATATCCATTCGAATTCCTAAATAAAAAAGTTTTTTATAATAAATTATAAATTTAATATTTAATCATAAATAGTAATATTTACAGGTAAAGATTTAAATTAATAAATATAACTTAACATGTCATTAAAATTTAAAAATGTTTTAGTCGTGGTTATAATTAAATTTCAAAACTGTCATTACTTCCTTAAACATTTTTTAAAAAGTTTATCATATGGTAGTTATTTAAAATAATTGAGCATAGTACTATATAATTATTTTTATTATTATTTTTAACTTATCAAGTTTTACAATTGATTCAGTTGACATATACATAATAAATATAATATATTAAATGTAGGTATTAGGTACCTATTATAAATTTTGATCATTATATAAATGTCATAAATTAATGAAACAGTTAATTATTGTCCACAGAATTCAGTACTTGCCATTGATTATTTATATTTATTGAAATAATTTATTGAAAAATAAACGATTATAATATGATTGTAATTATTGCAGCATACCGTAATGAAATAGATAACAGGAAGTGGCCATTATATTTGAATGGTCCAGTGATTTAAGATTGCTTTTTAAGTCATCCGTTACAATTGAAGGCAGAGAACATTCTGAAGTTGCAAACGCTTCAAACATCTGACAAATGAATTTTCTACTGATACTAAACTGGTGAGGGTATATCAACGTAAACGTTACGATCGTACCGTATGCCTTGTCATAACAGGCTCCCGCCATGACAATCATGGCAGTCGTTATGGAGACGAACAGAGCTTCTTCTAAAGGCAATCCTTCAGCCACAGACATGTTTAAACTAGTATTCTTATTCAGATGCCAAACGTCCTCCTTCAGGGCTATCCGATTCACCCACAACAGGTATAACGTCGGCACCACGATCGCGAAAGCGGATGGTATCAAGTTTTTTACGAAATAGTTTCCGGCCCCGTACCACATGACTATGATCACCGGAGACGCCCAACACAGAATGCTCCCAAAATAAAACGTTTCTTGTCCCGGAACGGCCATTCTGTAACCGATGGCCGTGACAATGCTCAGCAACAAAATCGGTATCCATCGGATTGTTTGATAACTCTGTTTGTCGTGGTTGAAATTTAAAAACGGTAATTTCCACCGGACACAGAGCAATGCCCAAAGCGTGGTCAAGACGATTTGTAGGACGACGGACACATACTCCTCGACGGGAACATTTCCCAAAACGCCTAAGAGTCTTTCCGGTGTATAGGTCCTCGCTTCATTGGCGATATTATAGTTGTAACATGGTGTTGCGTAGAGAAATGCCACGATGCTTATAAATGCAATTTTGGTAATTTCAAAACGATCGATAAATGGCCGAGCTAATAAAATCAATACACTGATAGCTGGAATAAAATACGTTAAATGGATTCCCATGTAGCTCAACATTTTTACTTGTTCGGTGAAGCTGAAATGTTTCAATATTGTGTAAGTATTTAACTTTTATTTAGTTAAATTTATCTGGTATCAGTATATCAAATAATAATATATAGGTACTTAAAATGATCTGAATTGCAAGCCTGAGCATAAAAGAGGTAAAAAGTTAATGTTAAGTTCATTTTAACTTAACCAATTTATTTTTTATTGATATAAATTAAATTAATAACGAGTTACTTTTAATCGAATCTAAGTTGTACGTTAATTTATTTATAAATAAAATAAAATTATTATGGCTGATGCATATATTTCATAAATATTTACTTTTTATTATTTTAAGCCATATTATTCGCTATTTAGAAATTTAGAAAAATAAAAAAAATATTTAATTTAAGTCGATTAGTTGATTATAGGTTTCTATATAGCTTTTGAGTTAAAAAACAAAATTAGGATAGCTATTAACTTTAAAATTGTTTAAATGTTTTTTTGTTGAACTAAACTTAAGTCAATTAAAAATGTTCATGAGCTTGCCCCGGCTAGCTGAATTGTGTGCCGTGGTCGTGAATTGCAGATCGCGTGGTTATCGCATGACAACTGGGTGCGCAAAAGTTTGATATGATGATTATAATTTAATAAATATCTTTGTATAACGATATTTTATTTCAAAACAGTTTAGAGTAGTAAGCATCCAGATTCCAGAAATCTACACATGTACACAAGCGACAGCTATAGAAAAATATAGTCTCTAGCTTCCTGAGAATTTCGTAAATTGTCGTATGTCATTAATTGTAATTAATTTATAAACTATAACGGCGTTTGCAATTTGTTATTTTAAATACATAATAACACAAATACATTTTTATATATTTTCTTCATCCGCGGATGATTTAGTACGATAGAATAATAAAAGCTGGAAAAGTGGACACCTTGTACTATTATATACGTACCTATATTACCGTTTAAGTATACTATCCGTTATTTTATATTTTAAAAATTAATTTATACTATACCTAGAAATTGTACAACTAGTTGACTAAAAAGGTTTATAATTGAATTTATTTTCAATCTTATATAACAGAAAGAACAATAAAGAAAAAATAAACTAATAGAGCAAAATATATTAACACAAATGAATATCAATTCTACACGACTTCCGCGACTGAAGGAAAATAGCGAAAATTATTCATATTTAAATGATTATTATTTTTTTTTTATAAAATCAATAAGATATCGTACCTACTATCTATTTATGATTTATTATAAACGATGATATGATACCAATATAGATACAAAAGATAAAGGCCATAGGTGGATTTGATAAAAATTGATTTTGAACCTAATTTATAGATTGCTGCAAAAACGCAATAAACAATAAGGCGCTACTAATCATATTCTGACAGGGATGGACATTTATACAGATGTCCATTACAACTGTATAGAATATAACGAGACCAATCTATACTTTAATATCATCAGTATGTGTTTTATGCATTTTTCATGAATAATAATGATAGGTACGTTTGCATCCTGTAGGTCTCTATAAGATTAATTACTTTTCGAAAACTAACAAATTCAAAAATAAATAAAATTCTATCATAGCCTCTTTTCATAATATAAACGAAGCCCTAGAAATCGATATATTACTGCTTGGGGTAAATTTTCGAATAAGCATTTAAAATTTAAATTATCATACAAACCAAATATTATACAGGACAACAGACGATCAGTATTATTTTAGTGTTTAAAAAAATTAGCTGAATAATCCGGATTCGCCCATGTACAGTTTTTTTTGTTTTACATTTTTTTATCAGTTTTAATATTACAGGCAAAAATACCTTAAGATCATTACCATTGTTAATATTATAACCTCGTCTGCCCGAGTAGATATTATAGTATTTTCAATTATTTTTAGTGGGTTAGTATGTTGTTAGGGTTGAAACACGTGTTAGTGTAAGTGGCAAGGACATGTTGCTATAACCAAGGTGGTCAACCATCCGAGAACTAGCAACACCGGCCAGTGCGTACACTCAGAGCGTTTCCGCTGTAGAGGCCAGAGCGTACAACCGTACCTCACCAAGCCACCCTAAAATGATTGTGTTATGCAAATTTTAATTTGTGTATACTTATATGGTTATAATAATACATCGTTTTAGCATCACAGCCGTTTTTTTCCAAACTTCCGAATTTTTCGAATTTTTTCCACTTAGAGTAATAATATAATATATTATATGGTTTCTTGTTGACCAACATTTCACTGTTTCCGCGACCTCGCCACAGAGGTCCACCTTTATAATACTAATGTATTAACACATAATATTTCGAATTCTATTCTGTAAGCTATTTTGATAAGTTAGTTATTGTCTCGAATGTTGTTACATCTTAACTTATTGAAAATCCTACCTTACTATATGCAACACTTGCATGGATTCTAGAACTTTCAATTACTGTTCCCCTAGATATGAACATATACACATAAAGTATAAATTTATATTTTTCAAATATTTCTCGAAAATTGATGACTAGCAATTGCACATGTTTATTGCAATCACTGTAAATAGAATAAAATAGTAAATCATAATGATTTAACATATTAAACAATGTTTATTAACCAAAAATTATAATACAATTATTATAATATGGCCATAACGCGTTATACAATAATAACGATAAGTAAAACTCGAAGTCAGTTATGAATTTATATACAAACGAGGATTATAGATTTAAATCCAACTATACAACGTACTGAATGCTTTTAATGTATAAGGAATAAAGTCCTATTGCAATTTTATTCCATTTCGACAATGAAGCTCTAGTCGGATAAGTTGGACTCGTCTGGATAGCAGAAACAAGCCCTCGATAAATATCAGTGGTTGCTAACACTGAACCTCTTGTGACGTGCGGCAAACACCTGATAGCGCCCACCGATTCTAATTGTTGTTTGTTGGCCAGATGGATCAACCGTGTGGAATATTTTTTTAACTTTTTATCGCCTAGAGACCGCGGTTGCTTTTCATGGCACAAGATCCTTACTTCTTCCTCTTCGTCGTCCATGTATTCGGTGGGTACATAGCAACGACCCAATGTTTCGCTGTCGGTGACGATATCACGGGCAATGTTCACAAGTTGTAAAGACTTAAAAAAATAATTTATGATATTTTATACAATTGTTATGTAACTAAAAAACCTGTATGGCAAAAACTGTTTACTCACTCGTCCCATTTGATATGCTTTTTCTATGACATAATTGTAGTTCTCGACAAGATCATACTTGCCGTTATCACACCTGTACATCATCACATAAACACATAATGCACCGACACTTCCGGCTACATAGGTGGAATATAATAACAAATCGTCTTCAGTTCTCACTAACCTACCCTCGATATCCCATTTGTAACCTGCGAGCAACTCATCGAATGGCTTACGAGGTAGGTAAAATGATATTCTAGATAATGCCCGGAAACATGACATTTCCACGTCACTCAATTCGGATTCGTATTTTGTCCAATCAATATTCAATTCCTGTGGTTTTGTTTGAACATCGTAGTCTGATTTTCTTTCATGAATAATTCATTGATAAATCGTTCAGTTAACTCAAACTTTCGTTTTTTCTTGTTGACATCCATCTCGTCGTCAATCATGTCATCCGTTACACGACAAAACGAATATAAAATTATTAGATCCAATCGAATTCCTAAATTAAAAATATTTCTCATTAGAAACAAAATTCAATCAATCTTAATACATTTAATACAATTTAGATGTTATTCAAATAACACATTACTACAACAAATAATATTTTTTTGATACAAAATCAACTACTATATGATCTACCATCAATACTACATACATTTATTTCAATCTTTATTTACTGTAAGTCTAAATGTGTAACTATCTATTGTTTTTTAATTTAATTTAAAATTATTTCGTGTCTTAAATTTGAATTTAATGATAAATTATTTTATCAATGCAATACGAAAAACTATTTTGAGCAAATACTGTTGGCATATTATTACTAAATATTTATACGTATGATATTATGTATTTTATATTGCTAATTAAGTAACTTAGTAACTTACTATTAGCAATACACTAATATGGTAAGTTCAATTAATTTTTTAGGAAAGTATTGCATTTTAAAATGTCATTGTGTATACCTATAAGTTATAATATTATTACACTCAAAAGTTTCAAATCTCCACAATAATATATTTAAATTACACCGAAATAACCAAAATAGTTTTTCATTAATTTCTTTAAATGCCAGTAAGTGTATTCTTCTGTCAAAACCTTTAAATGTAAAATATGATTCCTCATCGGACATTCTTCTAGCAAATTAAAAATACTTTTGTTTTTAAGTTTGTATGTAGACAAAGTAGATATTTAAACAAAGTATAACGATTTTAGTTATTTTATTTTATTTAAATGGTTATCATACTTTTTTGTTCGCGGAGCCCTCATGTTCCTAAAAAAAAATTACGGAACCCCCAAAATTCAGAAATGTCTATTTGAGACAACAATAATAAATTCATAGAAAATGATGTTGATTATAAAAAATTATGTGGATTTATAAATAGCTTACAGTTTTAAACTTTAAAATAATACATATTGGTACGGTCCAAATAATATTGAATACAAGTATAAAAATTAAAAATGTAACTAAGAAATATAATTATAATAATTTAATAATAAATTTGAATTTAATTAATTCAGATAGTAAATGGGGGCCAAGGAGCCCCTAGACTACTCTCGCGGAGCCTCAGGGCTCCGCGGAACACAGTTTGAGAACCGCTAATTTAAAATATATTTGTGGGATTTAGATACACTTGAAACCTATAGTATGTGGCATGCAAACATGATCATTATTTAATGCACCAGCTACGTAGTATTTGCCGGTGATAACATATTTGTCTGGTAATATGGTAAAATTGGTCATGTATAAAATACACTTCAGATTGAGAAAAACACTTAGAAATACTAGACACAGCTATAATAATATATTTTACTTACGCATTATACAATTGTAAAATTATTTTATTGTATTATGAAATTCGTGTGTTTAATAAATGATCTCTCGTTTTTGAAAGTTAAAATACAATAAATCGGATTTTACAATATTAATGACAATTGAATAAATAATAATTTTGGTCAA